CTCTCAGTAGAATATCAGCAATTCAATCAACAATGTGGAAAAAAATTACATGCTCCAGTTAACTAGGATTTATTCTAGGTATGCAAGGCTGGTTTGAACTTCTAAATACAGTGTAATTAGTCATATCAATAGGTCAAATAATAAACAGCATATAATGACATGTAAAGATGTAGAAGAAAGCACTTGAAAAATCTAACATAAGTTCTTAGAAAACTAGAAAGATGGGGAAAGTTCCTCAACTTAATAAACAATGTTAATAACACACAAATAACAACAAAGTACTTTATAGCTAACACAACAGTTAATGAGGAAAACTGGACATTTTCCCTGTAAGATTGGCAACAAAGTAATGATGTCCTTTCTTACCACTTCATTGCAAGACTGTACTTGAGATTAGCTAGTGCAGTAAAAATGAAAAAAAAAAGCATGCAAATTAGAAAGGACGAGATAAAAGCATTTTATTTAATTAGCTACGATGTTTTTCAATGTAGAAAAATCACAAAGCATTAACACATTAAAAAAAATTGAGCGAGAGAGAGAGCGAGAAGAAGAAGAGGGTCAGAAACCTATTCACTGGCTCACTCTCCACGTGACTGCAATGGTTAGGGCTTAACCCATTGCACCACAATGCCAGCCTCAATTATAGCATAATAGTCAACAAGTAAACTTCTACTGAAAGCATGGACAATAAAACAAAAATAGACAAATACGATTATGCAAAACTAAGAAGTGTCTGTACCAAAACTTCAGCTATAACTAATTAAGAATTAATTCCCAACAGAATTGCAGAAAATATTTGTAGACTATGCACACAATAATGGACTAATATCCAGAAAATATAGGAAGCTCAATAGCAATAAGATAAACAATGCATTTTTAAAAATGCAAAGAATATAAATAGATATTTTCAAAGAAGAAATACAAATGTACAACAAACACATAAAAATGTTCAAAAATCATTAACCATCAGAAAAACACAAAGCAAAACCATAATGAAGTATTGTACTACTTTAGTAAGAATGACTGCTATCTGAAAGTCAAAAGCTAACAACTGTTTACAAGGATATGGAGGAAACGGAACCCTAGCACACTGTTGATAAGAATGCAAATCAGTGCAATCATTATGGAAAACAATATGGAGAGTTCTCAAAAAATAGGTGGGTCTCCGAATAATACAGCTTTCCACTCCTGGAATATATCTACACAAAATGAAGTCAGCATGTAGAAGCGATACCTACATTTCCATGTGTATTGAAAACCAATTCATAGTGGCAAAAATATATAATCAAGTTAGGTATCCAACTGATGACTGGATAAACAAAATCTGATTTGTACATGATGAAATATTATTCAGCCACACAAAGATTAATCTGATATTTGTAATACAATGTATAGAACTAGAAATAATATTCTATGTTAAATATGTCAGACACAGAAAAACAAATGCTACATTTTCTCTTCTATGTAGAAGTTAATATACAGTGTAAAAATCTGAATGCCATAATATTTGGTATGTAAAATGTTGTTTTCACTGAATTATACCATCTCAATAACTTTATATTATTATTTCTTTACGATCCTTGTCATAAATCATATATTATATGGTAGTAATACTCCAGCTACATAGTACGATACTAACTATGGTATGTTTATAATAATAACACAGAAGTTAAATGGTAAAATGTTAAAAAACTATTAAATGTACAACAAATAAATATTTTTTAAAAGAAAAATAAGGAAATCACAGGAACAGCGAATTTAGACAAGGGTATCACACCATTTGCAAAATTTAGCCCGAAATGGATCATTAACATAAAATGCAAAACACAAAACTATGAAACATACAGAAGATGACTTACGAGAAAATCTAGGACATTTCAGTTTGGTGGTGAATTTTTAAAGGCAACACCAGAAGTAAAAGTCATGAAAAAATAACTGGTTAGCTGGATTAGTAACATTTAAACAGTGCTCATTGACATAAACTTTCAAGAGAGGCAAATCAAAAGCCCACAGAATTGGGGGGGGGATATATTTATGATTAAAAGCTTGTATCTAAAACATATAAAGAACTATTAAAAATTCAACATTAAGTAAACAAGAAATCAAGTGAAAAATTGGGGAAAAAACTGAACATACACCTCACCAAAAAAAAAAAAAAGTATGCATCTGGAAAAAAAAAAAGCATATATAAAGATACCTCAACCATTTGCCAATAGAAAATTGCAAGTAGGATTGCATACCTATTTGAAGATCTAAAATTCAGAAAAATACTATAAAAGTGCTGCATTGAAATGTAACAACAGGAACTGTATAACTCTTTGCTAGTGAAAATGCAAACTAGTATAGTCACTGTAGAAGGTTATTTTATATTTCATAAAAGCCAGCATTCTGCTGCTAACTTACTGTTTACCCAACTGATCCAAAATTTTCTGTACATGCAAAAATGTTTGTGTGGATTTTTATGGCATTTTTATTCACAGTCACCATCAGTTCGTCGTTAGGTCAGTGGGTAAGAAAACCGGTACACCTATGCAATGACACATTACTCAGCAACAACAAGAAATGAGCTATAAAGCCACATGGACTCATTGTTTGAAGTTTAATAGCGTAAAGAGAACATATTTGTTAAGTACAGTTCTAAAAGAATCATACTTTCCCTCTCCCTCTCTAACTTTCTCAACTCTTCTTTCCATCCTTCCTTCCTTCCTCTCTCTCTTTCTTCTTTTCTTTAATGTTTGGAAAGACATAACTGTAATCCACTTTATAATCACAGGCTTACTTCACCACTAAACATTATATTTCACAAATAAAAAATAAGAAGACCATAGTTTCACTAGAATAAAAACAGAGGTTAGAAAGAACAGTCATATCATAAAATGTCTATTTTATTTCCACACATTTTTTCTTTGTTCCATGTTAAGTGCCACATGTCACTGAAAACAGATTATTATTTCTGGCATTGGCTTATTTCATTACTCATAATGATTTGCAGTTGCATCCATTTTGTTGCAAAAGACAGGATTTCTGTATTTCCCAGGGTATATATACTTATAGTTTCCTTTTCCTGTCCTCAGTTGATGGACATCTGAGTAAATTCCATATCTTAGATGTAATAAACATGAGGATGTAGAAAACTCTCTCATATGCTGATTTCATTTTGTTTGGATAAATTCCCAGCAGTGGGATGGCTGGGTCATATGATCGATCTGTTTTTAGATCTCTGCAGACTCTCCATACTGTCTTCTATAATGGGTATACTTGTTTACATTCCCAATAGTGGACTAGATTAACTTCTCCCTTACATTCTCACCGGCATTTATTATTTTTTGATTTGGGTATATCAGCCAAATATTGGGATAACATGAAATCTCACTTTGGTTTTTATTTATATTTCTGAGATGGCTAGTGACCCAAAACATTTTTTCATGTATTTACTGGCCATTTGAATTACATCCTTTGAAGCATGTCTGTTTGTGATGGACTCATCTTAAATGCAAGTTACTAAGTGAAAGCAGACAGTCTGAACAAGTTATATACATGATTCCAATTATATGATGCTTGGAAAAGAAAGAATTGCAGAGACAATAACAGGATTAGTGGTTGCTGAGTGCTGGGGGTGACAGTGGAGGGTTAAACAGATCAAGCATAGGGCTTTAATATTATTTTAGGGTGGTAAAAACATTCTGTGTGATACTTTAGTTTTATATACATGACTATGTATTTGCCAAAACCATTGAATGCTACAGCATGGGTGAATCTTAACAAAATAAATTTAGGAAGTAGGAGGATGCCACAATGAAACACAGTATGCCACAGAACCAGTGCTAACCAGCATAGGAAACAATCCCTTTGAAGGTGGCTAGTCCTGACCCCAGCAACCTTGGAAATCAGTGTAAGCAAAAACAGAATAAAAGCAACCCTGTACAGAATTATTGTCCTCTAGCTGATACAGCTGCATATTTTAGGAGAATGGGTTAACAGTTGTGTTATTTCTTTACAAGTGTACTGGAATTGAACAACTAAATAAATGGATGGCAGATGGTGTGAAACACATTTCCTGCTCCTTCAGTGGGAGTCTGCAGATAAGCAGGCAGAGGACTCTAGAATGAACCATGTGGTGATGATTATAGTAGGAAACATTAGTATGAATTCATGTTTACCAGAAATACAGATGATTTTATAGGGAAACAGCTGAAGATATGGGTGTAACGTAACCCTCACTCCCTCAATGCCCAGTTTCATGTCATGGAGTTTTAGTTACCCAGGCAGCTGTGGTCCAAAAGTATTATACAGAAAATTTAAGAAACATGTAATTTATAAGTTTTAAATTGAGCACCACTTTAAGAAAATTATCATGAAATCTCATGTTGTGCCCTAGTTCAATCCCATCCAATCTTTGTCCAGTGTATCCATGTTGTATATGCTACTATCCCATTAGTCAGTAACTGTGATGGTTTTGAGATCAAGTGCTGTGGTACCCAAAACGAGTAATTAAGTACCACTTATGTGGTAGTCCTACTCTATGTAATATCACCCATGTTATTCTCATCACTTTATTTCATCAAGTAGGCATTTGCTATTTCACATTATCATAAGTATGAATACAATTCAATAAGACATTTAGACAATGAGGAAGAGACCACATTCTTTTTATTATGGTATACTGGTATAATTGTTTCATAATTTTATTACTAACTATTATTAGTCTTACTTAGATAATTTAAAATTAAACCTTATTTTAGGTAATTATATAGAAAACCCAATGTGTTTATATTATATATAAAAACCCAATGTATTTATAATTTTGTACTAACTTCAGTGTCAGCTATCCACTGGGGATAATCAATATATCTTCTCATTATAAGGAGTAATGACCTCTGAACATACAAATATATGGTGCTTCAAAAGTTCACAGAAATAGAATTTAAAAGTATATTTTTTGCAAAAAAATTGAAATAGATTATCAATTTTTCCTACTATATATTTTCTCTTAACTTTTTTAAAATATGGAACACTTCACGATTTTGCCTGTCATCCTAGCGCAGGGGCCATGCTAATCTCTGTATTGTGCCAATTTTAGTATATGTGCTGCTGAAGTGAGCTTCTATGAACTTTTGAAGCATTCTTATATGTCCTTACTCTACTGGCTGGGAAGGCAAAGGCGCAAGGAGAACCCAGCAGCAACGAGTACATTTAATACCCAGAAAGACCTTGGTTTTATAACATTTTCCAAAAGCAAAAACTATAACTGGAACAGGAAATATGCAGGATAACCCTGGAACATCTTTTATACTCATAAATTAACAAGGTAATGATAAAATAAAGTACAAAATATACCATGATGGGGATGTGACAAAGGAGTTAGGTAATGATCTGCCAATGTCCAAAACTAGAGCAGATAAAGTAGATTGTAATCCAAAAATTAATGTCATTGAATTATTGATGTGTAACTTTAAAATAATGTAAACATGCAAACCACCCAGGCAGAGGTATTCCAAACTCTTGAAGACATTCTGCCTTCTAGGAAATGGAGCACAACTTCTCACTCCTGAATTATGTACTGTATATAGCACATTTCTTCCAAGGAATACATTATGGAAAGGGGCAAAAACATTTAGAGGCTTTCAAAATTTATTTGAATATTTAATCTGCTCCACAATGGTGTCAATCCCTGAAAAATAATTTTACAGTGGAAAATGTCCACAAACACCATTTCATCCAGGTGATCCATGTCAACATCTTCAGTGACAAGTTGTGCTCACAGTAAGCATCATTGGTATCCTGTGTAGCCACTGACACTGTCTCTCTGATTTTTCTTCAAGAAAATAAAATTCCCAGCCTGGTTATGAGAAACCCATCAGGTAAACCCCAGAAGAAGGGTATTCTACACAATATCTGACCATTCTGTCAAAATCACCAAAAATCAGTAATTGGAATGGATACAGCAGTGAAGACTACCTGGGACTACCTGGGATGTATGCTCATCCATGGTGCAAGTGCCTACTCCACTTGGATTCTAGATTCCTGCTAATGCATCCCTTAGGTGACAGTGTTGATGGCTCCAGAATACAGGTCCATGCTGCTCACATGGGAGACATAGATAAATTTCTCAGTTCCTGGCTTTGACCTAGTCAAACTCAGATGTTGCAGGTTTTTGCGGGGCACAAACTAATGGTTCGAATATTTCTGGCAGGTGTATGTGTGCCTCTTTGTATCTCTATCTTTCAAATAAATAAAACTTTTAAACATACACACACAGGAGCTTACGGAGCCAGGAGGACTACAATCATGTGCTGCCAACAATGTTTAGGGATCATATACATGGTGGTTGTCCAGGAAGTGACATCATATCCAACTTAATTTGTTTAAGGACACTCTGTTTTGTCAGCATGATGACGAAATTGCCTAATGATGCAGGGTTCAGAGTATACCTGTCATTAAACAATAGTGAGCATAAAGATAATGGATATCCTACAACACTAAAAGGATGTTAGGAAAAAGCTAAAAATACAAAAATAAACTATGTACTTTAATTAATAAGATATCAATGTTTATTCTAATTATAACTAATGTTTCATATAAAGTGAGAGAATAGCAGAGGAAAATGTGGAAATTTTGGTAACTCTAACTTTTTTAAAATATAAAAGTGTTCTAAAAGTAAAGCTTATTAGGAATATATACACACATAAAGATACAGGCAAGTGTGATAGGGAAGACTAGGGGAAAACGCAATTAGAATTATGGGGATGGCAAACAATAGGAGTGATGCAGGAAGTTTGCATGAGTGGATAGAAATAATGGCATCTCTGACAAAATGATGCAAAGCTACTTCAAAAAGTCATGGAAAATTAAAGACAAATTTGCTTCTGTACAACAGTGTTTAAAAGCATGCACTGATGTGGCAGCATCAAAAAGTTCATAGAAAATGTGAGCTATGAAATAATCATGCGTGTTTTTCAAAATGCTTGCACCAAAATATACCATAAAATTTTTCAAGTTCCTTCATTTGGTTAGAGTTCTCTAGGAATGAGGAAGCATAGGAACAGCTGGGGGAAGAGAAAGCTGGGCCGAGGGAACTGCATGTGTGAAAACCTTGAGGTGACAGGACATTGGATACCTGAGTAAAAGGCCAGAGAAGCTGGAAAAGCTTGGGCCAGAACCGGAGAGGAAATCATAAAGCGGGTGATGGCGGTGGGTCTTAAAGGTTACTGAAAGAAGTAAATCGGTGGAGGAGTCCAGAAGACAAATGAAATTTACCTTGAGTTTGAGTCTGGATTCCTCAGCCCTTTTTGTTGTGAAAAATGAAGAACCACCCCCTTGAAACACACCTCACTCCTCAAACATTCTCTCCAACAATGAGACCTTCCATCTATACCAGTTGAGGCAGTCTAAGGTGCATCTTCTTCAGGAACAAAATATGAGACTGTTTCTACACAGGCCAAGAAAAATGAAGGCTTGAGGCCAATTCTTTGCATAATTCAATATATTGCAAAAAACCTAACATATGCTTGAAATCTTTAGATAATGGAAAGAAAAGTGGATTTTCCTCTCTTCATTATTAAAGTAATTGGCTCAAACTCTCATTTCATTTTGCCCATGCAGGCACAACCTACAATCTGTAATTAGTTTTAAGCCACCAAAGTAGAAACAGAATAAAACTTCAATGAACTGAGGTTTTTTTTTCTTTTCCTTGATATACTTACTTGGTGTTCAGTGCTTAGAGGCATTAAGACTTAGAGCCAAAAGGCAAACTTGCAACTGGGACTTGTTTATAAAGAACCAAATGCAACAAAAATAACTTGCAAAGCATGCCTTGGTTAAGTTCAATGTGAGCTGCTTGTCTATTCACTTCTCTATCTCCAGTTCCACAAAATACAAAAAGAGATCCTGAATGATGGTGAAGCCACCAGTTATCAGAGGGAGGAGTCCAATAGGCTTGTCCCTGAAATTTTAACTTGGGCACAAGAACTTTAGCGCCATTATAGAGGTCTGCCAGCAGGACTGAAATTAAAACCACTTCCTTGTGGCTTTCCCTTTAACCATAAAGGCACATGAGCAAAGGCAAACTTTTGAATGAATGTGAGAGCAACACATAAATCTCTCCTTAACTGGGGATGTTTGTAGAGCATTTTGGCTGATTTAAGGGTGCCAGATACCACACTCAACCACTGGCTATCCCTTACAAGCATTAATATCTCTGAGCCTGTTCATCTGTATAAAGACAATTATAATTTTTACAGGGTCCCTACTAAGATTAAATGGAAAAACAACTCTAAAATGCTGAGAATAGGGTCTGAATTATGGTAAGTGATTAAGTAGTGCTGTTTCATTTTATAAGCATAATTACATATCCATGTATGCCCCTGGAAAGGGGATGATATATGTGGCCAGATCTGAGCCAATCCAAAGCTAGGAGCCACGAGTCTCTTCCAGGTCCCCCACATGGGTTCAACGTCCTAAGGCTTTGGGCCATTCTCTTCTGCTTTCCCAGACCATAAGCAGGGAGCTGGATGGGAAGTGGAGCAGCTGATAAACAAAACAGCATCCCCATGGAACCGCAGCTCATGCAAGGGAGGAATAGCCAATTGAGCCTCTGTGCTGGGTTCTGCATAGTATTTTTTAAAGATTTACTTATCTTTATTGGAAAGGCAGATTTACAGAAAGAGATACAGAGAGAAAGATCTTTCTGCTGGCTCATTCCACAAGTGACCACAAGTGCTCGAGCTCAGCTGATGAAAAGTCAATTTCTGTGCCTCCCACATCCACATGGGTGCAGGGTCTCGGGGCTCTGGGCCATCCTCTACCATTTTCTCAAGACACAAACAGGGAGCTGGATGGATGCCTGTGTAGTATTTTAAACACATATAAAGAAAAAGTGTTGGGGCTGGCATGGTGGCATAGCAAGTAAAGCCATTGTTTGTGATGCCTGCAACCCAAATGGGTACTGTTTGTATCCTGGCTGCTCTACTTCCAGTTTATCTCCCCGATTAAGGCCCATGAAAGTAGCAGAAGAAGTAGAAGTATTTCGTGCCTTATTACCCATACGGGAGACCCAGAAGTAGCTCTTGGTCCTGGCTTTGGCTTGGCTCAGCCCTGGCTATTGCAGCCATCTGTGAGGGAACCAGATTTATTTATTTATTTATTTATTTGTTTTTATTTATTCTCTCTCTCTCTCTTCCTCCTTTCCTTCCTTCCTCCATCCTTCCCTCCCTCCCTGTACCAGCCTCTCTCTCCCTCTAGATATACAACTCTTTATAATCAATCAATCAATTTTTTTAAAAATTAACAAAAGTGCTCTAAATTTCATTTGTTAAGGATGACTTAACCTGTGTGACAGGTGCTTTTGCTTCCTTCCAGCACAGTCTTGTTGAGTGGGACAGAGCGCTGAGAAGGCTCCTGACTGCTTTTGGTTCACATTACTTGCTACTTTGCCTGCTCAAAAACTGGCTAGAGCTTCGGATTACCTGTGATGGAATGCATGAGACTTGTCCAGGTAGCGTAGGGTCTGAATTCATAGCATCCTGTGTCTGAGTCAAGAACAACTGACAACAGGCACAGTATCAAAACAACTAGCAACAGTTTTATATGTGGGATATTTATAATGAGAATATACTTTAAAATATCACATATCCACAAAAGAACAATAATGGCATAAAAGCCTTGAACTATCGTTGAACTATGCATTGTAGGGTATTTTTACTTGTCCATCAATATTTGATTCCTCCAGTCTAAGTCTCAGTTTTCTCGCATGTGAAATAGGATAAGGGAACTTTAAAAAAAAAACTCATGGAAAGGTAGAATTATACAGTAAATTCATTTTGGGGATAAGTTTTTCAAAGGCTATGCATAGATAATTTACAACTTGCATTTTCCATGAACTTATTTTAAAAACTGCATTTATTTCACTTGACAGGTAGTGTTAAAGAGAAAGAAAGAGCATCAGAGAGAGAGAGAGAGCTTGCAATTACTGATTCACTTCCCAAATGTTTGCAATGGCCAGAGGCTGGATCAAGCCAAAGCTAGCAGCCTAGAGCTTCATCCAGGTCTCCCATACGCATTTGATCTCATGTAATTGTTTGGTATATTGGGATACTGGGCATAT